AAGCACCAAAGTCACACAGACAAAACGAGGTGTTGACTTCAACCATCTGGAACCTTTTTAAACAAACAGAACTGTCAAAGAAAACGGTCAGAACCACGACTGAACTCTGACCCGAGATGGGACGGTTCTGTTGAGACCAAGATGAATGCAGTAAGACTAGAACGACTGCCACAAAGGATATGAGCACGAGAGAATAAACCGAGAGTTAGACTGCATATACGCACCGCCTCATCTCACAGTACAGCAGGTTGTGTGTGTGTGTGTGTGTGTGTGTGTGTGTGTGTGTGTGTGTGTGTTCTCATCAGCTCCCCTTCAGTTGGGAATGTGGGAATGTGAGTGTGTTGTTGATGGAGGAGCGTTCTGCTTCAGAGGACAGAGTGGATCATTATGAGGCTGTTGCTGCAAAGTTTAAGACGGGGTGGGAAAACTCGGAGCAGGCGCGTTCAGACTGTCGAAGTGTTTTGTCTACAGACTTGGAGGGAAGAGGAGGGGGCAGGAGGGTTAGGGGGCGGTTGAGAAGAGGTCCGACAAGTGAGAGATCACTTGTTTGGGGGTTTGTATGGTTCCAGAAGCTGCTTCGAGAACGTGTTGACCTTCTCGGCACCTCGAACTTCATGAGGCAGCAGCGGTAACTTAACTATGTGGAAATCTTCATAAAGATCCTCCATCTGCAGGGACAAGGCAGACCAACAATGAACACATGGGAAAGTGGCAATCGCTGCTTTAAATGTTGGATAATTACACATCAGTGAAATAAATCCTGCCTCTTTTGCTACCAATGTTTAATTTGTTTTGTCAAATAAAGGCTCTTGGGGGTGAAAAGTATTACTTTATGTGATTAAGACAATATTTCAAAACATTGGGTCACATTCATTTTACATTTTTATTTATCCCTTTTGCATTAATTTTGGGGGAATTGGCTGTTGGCGACAAAGAGCCGGTAGTTGTGACGTCAGTGACTTAATAAAAAGTTAAAACTATTCAAAGACAGAAAACACTTGCAGGCCGTACCTGGTCTAAATATTTGGACTGAATTTTGTGGCGGGCTTCACACATCTTGCAAGGCTTCTCTGCTTCGGGGAAAACCAGCTGGTTGACAATGATGTTGTGCGTGTCGATGCGACACTTGGCCAGTTCCTGGATCAGCCGCTCCGTCTCGTAGAGCGACAGGAACTCGGCGATACAAACACAGATGAAGGTCGTCTGTTCCTGGAAAAAACATTAGCAGGGAAAACAGAGGAGTTAGAAAAAAAACCACGTGCTTCTTAGAGCACATTCAGATGGACAACAGCTGTCATAAGATACAAAGTATTTGACCATTTTCTAATAATATCCCCATGTATTCAAAACAACCAAGTTATTCCTGTATTCATGAACAAAAGGAAAGGACTGATGGACAGACTGAAGAACAGAAAGGTAAATAGACAGGGAGAGGGCAGACAGGTGAAGTGTACTAAAATGTTAAAACATTTGATTCTGGCAACTAAAAGGTAAATTTATGAGGTAACACAAACTCAAGGTGACTCTTTACAGAAGGTGACTTGTAAGGAGTGACACTATTAAATGTGTAAATTAAATACTTACAGGATCTTTGAACTGCTCACTAACAGAGCGAATGACTGGTAGAGTTTCCTCCAGTTTGGACGCCAGCTGGTCTGCATTCATGTCACCCAGACCAAGCATGTTACACATCTGGGAATAATAATAATAATAATAATAATAATAATAAAAAGAGATGCTATTAAAGCCTCACTGACAGTCATTTCCTCACGCAGCTATCTAAACCCGGGTAGAAAAATCCAGTGCACCTGAGAAATGAAGGGGCTGATCTGGTTCTTAATTTTCATGAGGCGACCCAGCCCTCGCTCCACGATGGTGGGGAAGTTGAGCAGACGCAGCGTGTGGCCGGTCGGCGCAGTGTCAAACACCACAACTGAGAAGTTCATTCCTTTCACTAGCCTGTTTCAACAGGTAAATAAAGCACACCAAGTTCAATAAAACGACACCAAGCAAACACATCGTTTTACATTTCTAATTGTTATTTACGCATTTATTTTTCACCTCATGACCTCTGCGTAGCTCATGGCCTCGTCAATGCCAGGGAAAGCACTCATGGCTTCCTGCATCATTTTCTTGCCCATGCTGAGCATGTTGTCCTCCTCGAAGAATTCGTCAGGCAGTTCGGCGACGCCCAGACTCGGGTCGATCTCCTGTTTAAAACAAATATGAATGATGAGGGGAAAATACACAAGTGGCCTGTTGTTTCCTGCCCTTGTGACAAGTGGTGAACTAATGCAAAAAGCTTCCCAAAAAAAAAAAAAAAAACAGGACAAATAAACCTTTTTGTGGTTTTCTTAATGGCCGACTCCAATTTCCAAATGCTGGATCAGATGAGACATTCTGACAACAGTCATAGATCCAAAAAATAAAAATAAATAAATAAATGAAGGACTAAGTTCAGGCGTCTTAAAGTAATTTTATATCACTTGGAAAAAGCACTGAATTTGACTAAATTGATCAAATAAAAAACTTGAATAATTACAGTTCTTGTGATTAAAGTTGTTTATATAATTTTGTCAGTATAGCTTCAACTCTCAGTGCTGTTTTAATTTTGTCACACAACTATGTAGAAAAAATAAATCACCAGTCACTGTACAATTTGTTTCACTATAAAAAAACAACAACTTGCACGTGCAAGAAGGCGACTGGTTTGCACAAAATATAAAGGCCCAATAGTTTCTAACACTATTAACCCATCTACTAACCCAAACTCTTGAACCTTGCTACATACGTTACCAATCAAAATTCTGATTCTAAAAAAGATTTTTGATTTGTTCAAAAGATTTTTATTATTTTTTAAATTATTATTCATTATGACTTACCATTGCAAAGAGGTTTTCATAGCCCTTAACTTTAGTAGGCACCTTCGAGAATTTCTGGTCAAAAGCATCAGAGATGTTATGGGCAGGATCTGTGGATATGATGAGGACGCTCTCTCTGACGGCAGCCAACTGGACGGCCAAACTACAGCTAAACACACACACACACACACACACACACACAAAAAACATATGTTTTAGATACTTAATTTCTAGAATTTTTGCAGAATGTGAATAAAACTTCAGAAAGGTGGAATTAAAAATTGCACTGCAAATCTTTATGTTTAATACGATAATGATGGTTAGTGTAGCCACGTAACTCAGTATGGATAATAAATGCTTAGCAGGAGCTTTGTTTTGAAGATTTCCTGTCACTTCTGAGCTATCCTTATTTAAAGTAACTCAACTAAGCCCTGTTGAAAATTGGGACCAAACAGTATTGTAAGAATGCAAAACATTGTAAGCATGTTCTTTTGCCTTTTTTGATAGCCTAATGCATGTTTCTTTTTATATATAAACAAAAAGTGGTTTTCTTTTCATTTAACCAAATCAAAGTAAAATCTGTGCAAAAATGTTAAGTAAACGCAAATATAAATTTAGCAAAATCCAAAATAGAAAAAAAATAAGCTGGGGGAAAAAAATCCCAATTAAAAATAATAGAACTTTAGGAAAGAAAACTGGCCACTTTGTAGAACTCTCTCACACAGACGGACCTGTATTTGGGCCATTTTTCTGACCGTTTTGACATGTTTATTCCGTCCTTCAAGCCTGGTGGCTAATGCTAACCTTTCTGATTGTCGTTTTACGTTGTTGTCCAATTGATTTTTTTTATATACATTTTTTTTTTAAATCTATAGATGTACAGCAGGAAAATCTGTAGCTAAAAGAGAGCTACATGGAGACGAGAAAGTCATAATTTAATTTAAAGAACATAAATTAATGAATTGTGGCAGCAAGCTAACTTTAGCTGCTGACTGTGCTAGACAGTAGCTACCCGATAAACAGGTAACACTAATTTATTCACAAAAATACAAGTAAGGGTGTTCTGATTAAGTTTAATTATTCCTATCAATAAAACTAACACAACTTGTTCATTATCTGATCAAAAAAACCTTCAGCGTGTATTAAAAGCTAGCTTGAGGTCAATATTTCAGCTAGCTCGAGTCGCCAAGAGCATTTCCTTCGACTGACCTGCAGGTGGTTTTACCGACACCACCTTTCCCACCAACGAAGATCCATTTCAGGGATTTCTGTTCGATTATGTTCTTCAGAGTCGGCTCTAAAGGCTCCACATCAGGTGCGTCTTCAAATTCGTCGTCCATCGCAGCGGCCATCTTGAATGTGTACAGTCACCGTTCAGCTGAGGCAGACTTGCTGCGTTCAAGAACTCCCGGAATTCCAAATTAAAAGGGCAACTTTTTTCCTGCGGATGTTTGAACGGAGCACTTGAAGTGAGTCTTCAAATACACTTGGATACGTAAAAAAGTGCACTAATCATGTCAATGCTGCTTACTAAAGCCTATTCTTAAATGTAAGGAAACAAACTAACTTACACAGGGAATTGTTGGGTTTTCGGTCAACGCACCATTGGATGTACATTAATCTCACTGACCATAAACCCGATTAATCAAGCCAAGTCTGATAGTGCCAGTAATACTCAAAAACAACAAATACCCCAAAAAACGTGCATTTGGTAAATCTAACTTGCGAGACCAGAAATAGGTCTGACATACATCCGGTAAACAAACGCAAGCCACCAGTTTTGAATGGTGAAACACTTGTAATAACAACTGCATTTACAATTGTAAAAAAAAAAAAAAAAAAAAACAAAATGCTCGTCAGTCGTTCTCATGGTTAATTGTGACAACGACTGACGGACAGAAAACCCAATTGGAGCAACTCTTGACCGCAAAGACGTGTTCCTTGGATCAGAAACATCCGGAGCGTTTGTCCTGAAGATCCCAATAGTTGTGGGAGCAGACAGAGTATGCAGAAATTTGTAGTGAACACTTCATCTCAGGTTGGTGCTGCGTTTGCTGGTTTAAATACATTTACATGCATATCACTATTGGTGTCAGCTTTATCACGGCTGGTAAGCCTGAAAACACTCTTACTCGATGATTGAAATTTATTACCTATGATTTTTTTTTTCCCTCGGAAACTTTCCCTGATATGTAGCAAGGAGTTCTTTTTTTAAAAACTGTGCAGTTTTAATATGATTTTAACATCCACAATCTATGTTAATTTCATTTTTTTATTTTCTTACAGGATCAAAATCAATTCCCCATCTAAAAAATAATTTAGTGTTTACTATTCATCTAGGAGTGGTGTGAAATCAATAATCAATAAGCTGACAAGCCTTTTACAAAGACACAGAGGAGCAGTCAATGTGGTCAGCTAAATAAAATCACATTTACTTCTTCCATTTCTTTAAGACACTTTTCTTAATTTTGAACTAAATTAGCCAAAAAAGTATTGCCAAGTGCTTCATGAAAATTTATAATCTTTATTATAACACCAAATTTGAAAGCAGTGTTCATTAAAGATATGCAGATTTACAAGACGTTATTTAGGCAGCGACATTAAGCAGCATAATTACATTTTTAGTCAGCTTTATTCACAACCGAACGCCACTAAAACACAAAAAATCAATTTCTGTAGACAAAGGTAAACAGGGAAGTAGTAAAAAACATCTTTTTACACGAACAGATACAAGAGGTGACCACAGGATGAGACACTTGTCTCCATAAACATATTTTGACTCCTCCGCTTGTCTCAGTCTCAGTGTGTTCACACTTTTCTCCTTTAAGGTTCTTGGATCCATCTCTAATTTCCAGGCAGTTCCAAGCCAGAATCTTAATTTGCGCTGTCTGAGCTCGCACACACTTCATCCCTTTGGGAAAAGAGCAGCTTCTCTCCTTCTCCGGCCTTTCACAGTCAGTCTGTCGCAGCCAGCGTGGCCAGAACGCCGGGCCCAGGTCTACCCACTGGTGGTGCAGTTTACACCCTGCCGAGTTCACCAGCCAACCTCTGAATGTTTCTGCAATCTCAGAGGGAAGAGAACTGAAGTTCAGGTCTGCAGCTTCTTTCTCCAGTTTCTGTAGACGGATTGCTTCAGCCTCTTTGAGCTCCAGAGAACTACGGCTTAACCTTTTTGCCAAGGCGGTGAACTGAGAGTCTGAGAAAAACTCACTTCCAGAGGCGGTTTCTGAAGGCTGATCCACAGACATCCACAACGGGTCAAAGTTGGATCCCAAGAGGTGGAACAGACGAGAAGGGCGGAGATGTCTGGGTTTGGGGTTGCAGCGATGGTCGTCAGTGTTTGTCACCAGGTTGTACGGACGGATCGACTGAGAGTAGGAAGGCAGGCTGGCTCTCAGCTGCAGAAACGGTGAATCCCAGTCCATGTCCTCCTGGCTTTTATTGACAGTCCCATTCGGAAGCTGAATTGAAATGTTAAATGTAAGGGCCATGGAAACGTGTAAAAGAACAGCGAGACTCCATCTGAACCGCGCAACAACGCGGAATGCTGTGCACACGGTCCACATTATGCAGGGCACCAAGTAAATGAATACTCACTCATCAGTGTAGTCTCTCTTTAAGAGAGCGTAGGTTTTGGTACCTCTGGGAGTCTGAGAACCCAAAGCCAGACATCCTTGAGCTTTTAAACAATAACATGCCAAATTTAGACAAACATAATACAGAGTGTGCTCAAAGAGTACAAGTTCCCACACCTCATTTAAGCCTCCAATATTCCAAACAGCCAAATTCTTGGGCAAAATTGTGTCTCTCACTTTTTCATCATTTTTGTCCTCTTACTTAAATCAACTCTTTTTATCCATCTCTAATTTCACAGTTAAAGTATTTTAAGTAATTTGTGTGAGATGCAACATTAAGTACCTGTATGAGTGGAGCTGGAGAGATTGAGAAAGATAAAACTAAACAATCTTAACTTCTGACCAAAAGGTTATAATTGTGATTGTATCCATTTACTAAATTGGTTAATGAAAGTTGTGAATTCTAAATATATATATATATATATATATTTTTATTTTTTTTATTTTTTTTTTGAGAATGCAGATGCCTTCACCCATTTTCTTACCCAGAGTGTCATGCATTTATCTTGGGGTTTGATATTCTGCTTTGGCTTTTAATACAAACATTGTTGGACTTTATTTATAAATCAATCTAGATGAAGTT